CGAAACGTCAGCTTTCCTGCTCCTCTGATGCTGCTTGGCCTGCTGTGTTCATCCAGCTCTACACCTTGTTATCTCAGATTCTCCAGCATCGGCAGTTCCTACTATCTCTTGCTGTTTGTACTGACGGTTCTTCAGCTCACTTGGGAAACTCTACAGTTTGCTAACTGGCAGCCGGGAACAAGGGAAGACAACCATCAAACTGAGTTTGCAAGCTGCAGCCAAACAAAAGGAGTTCGCTCACATTGTAAATAATGAATTTTGCAAACTATACAGCAGCAAATGATAATATTTTAAATTACTTTGAGGGAACAGGGCAAGAGTATGTTCGTTCAAACTAGATTTAAAAAAAGTTTTCGGACTGGCAACAGGATTTTCGTCTACTTGCAAAGTGTTTAAAATGCATTGGGATCCCATACTGTATCCTGAAAACATTGATGAAACTGTTCCGTATTGAGGATTTGTGAAGTAAGGTTCTTGCGAACAATTTGTGAGGTAAACTTAAGTAAAACAAGCGGGCGTTTTTATTGCTGAGACCCTGTTAAAATATTACTGATTGAACTGGCTCTTATTTTTCCTGAACAGCCGGGTCCAGCCACAACAGTTGACAAAACCAAGACAAGTGATGTGGTGGGACAGGCCGCTCTGAAAGGAGCACGGAATTCGAAACAGTTCAAACGCGTTAGGGTCGGTACGGTGTCCCCCACGGCTAACAAGTGAAATGCGCAGACTCAGGATCCATCCCAGCGCTGCAGTGACTTTCAAAGGTGAGTGATTGTGAAAGGTCGGGCGCGATTAAAACAACCGCACGCTGTTCTTCATGAGAACAGGATGTCATTCCAGGTTTTTGGTATCCGTCATCGTGTCGCTGGCTGAATACTGGGGGTTCAGTGTCTCTGGGTATAGGTTGAATATTGAGTATTTAGTGTCTCCAGTTACAGGATACGTACTGACCATTGACACTTTTCCATATAATTATACATAAGTTGTGAACCTGTTCTTGTGAAATTGCTTTTAGGTCTGCTGATTCGTCTTTTGTAACAGTGCATAGTATGTATTGGTATTATAACAGCCAACGTTTACTAAATATCTAAATGTGAACTGTCAGGCTGGAGTAGTGTGAAACATTATTGGTGGGTTTGCTGTGAATATAATCAGAGAATACCTTTCAGGATATTCTTGTAGTTGGTGAGATTATATGAAACAAAAACAGAAAATGCTGGAAAATCTCAGCAGGTCTGGCAGCATGTGTGGAGAGAAATTATGAGCTCTTAAATCTTTGACAATGGTGTTTAAAATTGGGAAGAGACCAAACAAACACAGTTGGAAAACTCAAATTGCAAGATGGTTTGGTTGGACAAGGTCACAGAGATAGGTGTGTAACAGGATTGTTTAGCTTTAAAAATGAGCAAAGAATGTCATTATCAATACTTTGGAATCTGTGCAACTAGTGCTATTGTTAGCAGTAATCATCTCAGGATAAGATCGTTTGACAAAATTGAAGCTCTTTCTGAAAATTAGTGGAAGTGTTGTTGAGAACTTTAGAATAGTTGACTCAATTGTGTTACATTATTAAAGTTTAAGGACCAATTGGAGAGGATGATATTGCAGAATTTCATATATGAAGATACGGTTGAAGAAGATTCCATGATTACATGCAATTGGGATCAACTTGAGTGAACTGATTGGGAAGACAATGGGAGCAGAGGCTAAGATGCGAAGTTTCTAGTGGGTTGACTTCACTGCTGTCACGGTGAAGTTAGAAACTGATATTAAATCTTCTGAAACAAGAACATTAGGGAATGTTGCTTGTGGGTTGAGGAAGAATTGTGGTCTAGAGAAGGTTTTTAAATTTTTCTCTTATTTGAATTCAAACTTCATCTGCTGTGGTGGGACTCCAAGGCCAGGTACACAGAGCCTGGGTCTCTGGATTAATAGTCTAGCGATCATACCACTAGGCCACTGCTTCCCCTTTTTAAAGATAGTCCTCATGGTAACCTCAGCTGGTATGGGAATTGAACCCACACTGTTGTCATCACTCTGCATTGCAAACGAGCTGTCCAGCCAATTCATAGGATGGAGGAATCAAAGAATCCATACATTCCATAAAGAGGCCATTTGGCCCATCGAGTCTGCAAAAACCTTCCAAACAGCATCCCATCAGACCTAGCCACACTATCTTATCCTCGTAACCTCACAATTACCATAGCTAATACACCTAGCCTGCACATGACGTTGTTGGCTTGTTCGCCGAGCTGGCCTGTTCTCATTAAGACGTTTCGTTACCATGCTAGATGATGAAACATCTGAACGAGAACAAGCCAGCTTGCTGAGCAAGCCAACAACCTCACCCACAACCTGAGCTACGGATCTTTGCCAAAACTTTGAATAGCCTGTACATCCCTGGACACTATGGGAGAATTTAACATGGCCAGTCCACCTAACCTGCCTGTCATCGAACTGTGGGAGGAAACCCATGCAGACATGGGGAGAATATGCAAACCCTGCAAAGTCATCCAAGGCTGGAATCGAACCTGGATCCTGGGTGCTGTGAAACAGCGGCAGAGACCACTGTGCCATCCAAAATAACACGACATCAGCAGGAACACCCCCCCACCCGACATGCACGCAGTCTGATTTAAGCAATTTGAAAGATTGTGATACAGTTCATGTTCACCAAAGGTGCCTATCTGAAGGGGGCTCCCAGATTTGAATTAGGGACCTCTTGATCTGCAGTCAAATGCTCTACCACTGAGCTATACCCTCATTATTCATTGCCTGGACCAGCATTTATTCCCAACCTTGGCTGCCTTGAGAAGGTGGCGATGAGTTGCCTTGAACAGCTTTAGTCCTAGTGCTCTATGTAGGCCTACAATGCTGTTAGGAAATGAATTCCAGGATTTTAACCCAACGACACTGAAGGAACAGTGATATATTTCCATGTTGGGATGGTGTGTGGCTTGGAGTGGAATTTTGCAGGTGGTGATGTTTTTATGTGTCTTGTCCTTCCATATGGAAATGGTCTTGGGTTTGGAAGATGATGTCTCAGGAGCTTTAGTGTATTTCGACAGTAGATGGTACACATTCTTGCTACTGAACATTGGTGCCAGAGGGAGTGGATGCTTGTGGATGGGGTGCTAATTAAGTGGCTGCTCTATCCTGGATGGTCTCAAGCTTCTTGAGTGTTGTTGGAGCTGCACTCATCCAGCCAAGTAGGAATATTCCATCACACTCCTGACTTGTGCCTTGTAGTTGGTGGACAGGCTTTGGAGAGTCAGGTGGTGAGTTACTTGCTGCAGGATTCTCAAGCCCTGACTGGCTCTTGTAGCCACTGTATTTGTATGATGACCCCAATTCAGTTTCTGGTCAATGGTAACCCCCAGGATGTTGATAATGGGGGATTCAGTGATGGTATTGCTATTGAATGTCAAGGGGCAGTGGTTAGATTGTACCTTTTTGGAGATGGTCATTACCTGGCATTTGTGTGGTTAAATGCTAGTTGGCACTTTTCAGCCAAAGCCTGAATATTGTCCAAGTCTTGCTGCATTTGAACATGGACTTCTTCGGTGTCTGAGGAGTGACAAACAACACCTGAGTATTATGCAAACATCTACTTCTGACCTTTATAGTGGGAATGTCATTGATGAAGATGGTTGGACCTAGGACACTACCCTGTGGAACTAGGGCTCTTGTGCATTGGTGTCCATATGTCTGGGTCAGGAAGCCCAGGTTCAAGCCCCACCTGCACCAGAGGTGTGTAATAGCATCTCTGAAAAGGTTGAGTAGAAATACCTACCCTGAGGACTGCAGCGATGACTTCCAAAAACCACAACCCTCTTCCATTGGACCAAGTATGACCCTAGCCAGCGGTGAGTTTCCCCCTTTATTCCAGTTTTGCTCATGCTCCTTGATGCCACACTCAGTCACGTGGCCTTAATGGCAAGAGCAGGTACTCTCACCTCCTCCTTGGATTTCAGCTCTATTGTCCATGTTTGAATTAAGCTTGTAATGAGGTGAGGAGTCAAATGGCCCGGGTGGAACAGCAAACAGAGTGCCAATGAACAGGTAATATTTGATAGCATCATCCATCACTTTGAGAGTCAACTGATGGGGCATTAATTGGCCAGGTTGGATTTGACCTGCTTTTTTGTGTACAGCATGTACCTGGGCAATTTTCTACATTATCAGGTAGTTGCCAGTGTTGTAATTGTGCTGGGAAAAGCTTGACAAGGGGTGCAGCAAGTTCTGGAGCACAAGTCTTCAGTGCTATTGCTGGAATGTTGTCAGGGTCCATAGTTTTTGCTGCAACCAATGCCTTTTGTATCCATGTGCATTTGTGGCAGACATATTGCTGAGGATGAGTTTAAGTATGTTTTTCTCTTGTTTTGATTCCCTCACCATCTGCTGTGGCATTGTCCTTTAGGACTAGACCAGCTTGATCAGTAATACTGTTGCCAAGTCACTCTGGTTGGGAAATTTCAATGTCCATCACCAAGAGTACATTCTGCACCCCTGCTATCCACCATGTTTCCTCCAAGTGTTGTTCAACATGGAGGATAATTCAAGGGAGGAAAATATGTATTAATTAGCAGGAGGTTTCCTTGCCTGTGTTTGAACTAGTGACTCAGCCACCATGAAGTCTCATGGAAATGTTGAGGACTCCCAGGGCTGCTCCCAACTATGTGCTATTGTGCTGCCACCTCTGCTGAGCCTGTCCTGCTGATGCAACAGGATGTATCAACGGATAATAATCATGGTGTTGGGGACAGTCATATACTTTTGAGATAAGCAAGTCTCGAGAGGATAAAGAAGTTTACGTAGAGATATTGATAGGATAAGTAAGTGGGCAAGAAGTTGGCAAATGGAGTATATTATGGTAAAATGTGAGGTGATTCATTTTGAAAGGGAGAATGAGAACTGAGAATTGGAGGTACTTGTGCATGAAAACCAGAGAGCTAGCACACAGGTGCAGAAGGTAATCAGGAAGGCTAATGGATGTTGGCCCTTATTTCAAGAGGTTTAAGTTTAAGAGTAGGGAGGATTTACTGCAATACTGAGAGCAGTTTTGGTCCACTTATTTAAGGAAAGATATTATTTCATTGAAGGCAGTTCAGAGAATATTAACTAGGATGATCCCTGGTATGGAGGGATTGTCTTATGAATAAAAGTTAAACAGGTTGGGACTCTACTCGTTGGAATTTTGGAAAAATGAGAGGTGATCTCATTGAAGCATGTAGGATTCTTAAGGGGCTTGACAAGGTAAATGCTGAGAGGATGTTCCCCTCATGGGAGAGTCTAGGACCAGAAGGCATAGTCTCAGAATAAAGGGGTGCCAGTTTAAGACTGAGATGAGGAAAAATTTCTTCTGAGTTGAGTCTTTGGAACTCCTTGCCATAGAGAACTCTGTATATTGAGGGCTGAGCTAGATGGATTTTTTATCAATGGGATAATCAAGGGTTACAGGGACGTGGACGTGGAAGCGGCTCAGTGGTTAGCACTGCTGCCTCACTGCGCCAGGGACCCGATGTTTGATTCCACCTTCGGGTGACTGTCTGTGTAGAGTTTGCACGTTCTCCCCGTGTCTGCGTGGGTTTCCTCCTGCAGTCCAAATGTGCAGGTTAGGTGGATTGACCATGCTAAATTGCCCATAGTGTTCAGGGATGTGTAGATTAGGTGGGTTATGGGGAATGGGTCTGGGTGGAATGCTCTGAGGGGCAGAGTGGACTTGTTGGGCCGAAGGGCCTGGTTCTGCACTGTGGGGATTCTATGATCTATGATCAGATCAGCCACGATTCTACAGAATGATGGGGCAAGTGCAAAAGGCTGAACAGTCAATTTCTGTTCCTGTTTTTTTTTTCAATCTTATCATCTACTGATCTTATCGTCCCAATTTTGATAGTAAGGAGGACAAGACAGGGTGAACATGGCTGTTTTTGTTGGTGCCAAGGTTTTATGTCCGATAGTCTGTCCGGTTTCATTTCATTTTTCCAAGACTTGCTGGTGATTGTTACAGTTCTGGCTTGCTATGGCTTACTGAGGGCAGTTAAGAGTCATGCACATTGGTGTGAATCTTAAGTCACACGTAGGCTAAATTAGATAAGGATGACCATTTCCTTAGTGAACCAGATGCGTTTTCTGACGATGGTTTCATGGTCATCTTTAGACTCTTAGTTCTAGATTTTTAAATTGCATTCAAATACCACCATCTGCCATGTCAACATTTAAATCTGGGTCCCTAGAATAGTAACTACTAGAGCGCTGGATGAAAAGCCTAGCACTAAAACGGAAGCAATGGCCTAGTGGTATTAAGGGAATTTATCATCCAGGAATTGCATCCTGAGGTGTGGGGCATTTGTGGATTGAGTAAGTAAGGAGTTCATTACCTAAACTTTCATTTAATGGGCTGCACAGACAAAAAAAGCTAGAATCGTTTTTAAATTGTTCAACAGTTGAAAACATTTTCGGTAGTTACGTGGAATAAGTACCCTCCTCAACATCTATTTGAGACATGCCTATTAGCTGCGACAGCACATTTGCTTTAATAAGTCAAGTGTGGACACTTTGCAATTATTGGAAAGAATCTGACTCAAAACTGATCCTGGTTGAAAGATACTCATTAGATAACATTAGGATGCAATAAATGTTGTGTTCCTGGTTCTGTAGAGTCCATCCATAGATTTGTTGTGGCATGTTTTAGTTTACTGTTTTGATAGTCAAATTATACTGAAGAAATTAAATGGTCTCTGCTGCTTTTGGTATATCTGCAGGGATTTAACTGAATCTGCTTTAGTTTTCTCTCAACTTCACTGCAAGAAGTTATGTTCATTGGCATAACCAAAACTATTACAGCAGAGCACAATTCAGGAAAAGATACATTGCAAATTATAGTTTTGAAAAACTCTATATTCTCGCACTTTAAGAATAAGCACATCGTCAGTTGTTAACTATATCTTTCGATTAGGCTGACATATTAATTCTCTGGTTTACTTATTTCCAGGTAATGTTGTAATCAGGTTACTAAGAGCAGAGTTATCCCATCTGTCCTGGTCAATAATTATCATTTAATTAATAATAACACTAGACTGTCTAATTGTCACTTGTTTTGTGGAAAATCGTTGTTGGCAATTTGCCTGTTGCATTTCCTGCATTATAACAGTAACCAACATTCAGAAGTACTTCATTGGGCTGTAAAGCACTTGTGTGTCCAAGGATGTGAAGGATACGTTTATACAGCAAGTATTTTTATACTCTATAAACAAGAATCAGATGAGTGTTTATGGTTGCCCCCCCGCTCCATTTCTCTTTAAGAATGTCACCCAAAACTATGGAACCATTAGCAAGACGACTCTTTAGAGGAGTTTTAATCGCAGAGGTTGCAGGAGTGATTGGAGCATACTGGCTGTTTCAAAGGATGAATACCAGTCAAGGTAGGAATAATTTAATGCATCTAATATTTTTCTTCATTGGTTAATCGCTAAGTAGGACTGACTCACTTCAGTTAATAATTCATTAACTTAATATTTATGCTGAAAAATACCAGAGTAAAAATATTTTACAAGGCTTTTGTGGCAGTGTTGTGAAGGCAAATCGGGGCAGAACTTGTACACTTTAATGGTAAGGTCCTGGAAAGTGTTGCTGAATGAAGAGGCCTTGGAGTGCAGGTTCATAGTTCCTTGAAAGTGGAGACGCAAGTAGGTAAGATAGTGAAGGCGGCATACGGTAGGCTTGCCTTTATTGGTCAGCGCATTGAGTATAGGTGGTGGGAGGTCATGTTGAGGCTGTACAGGACATTGGTTAGGCCACTTTTGAAATACTGCATGCAATTCTGGTCTCCCTGCTTTTGATATGGTGCAACTTGAAAGGGGTTCAGAAAAGATTTAAGGATGTTGCCAGGGCTGGGGGGTTTGAAGCTATAGGGAGAGGCTGAATAGGCTGGGGCTATTTTCCCTGGAGTGTTAGAGGCTGAGGGGTGACCTTAAAGGTTTATAAAATCATGACAGGCATGGATAGGGCTAATAGCCAAGGTCTTCCCCCCCCAACCCTAGGGAAAAGAGTCAAAAACTAGAGGGCACAGGTTTAGGTGAGAGGGGAAAGACGTAAAAGGGACCTAAAGGGGCAACTTTTTTGTGCATAGGGTGGTGTGTATGGAATGAGCTGCCAGAGGAAGTGGTGAAGGCTGGTACAACCACATTTAAAAGGCACCTGGCTGGGTATATGAATAGGAGGGGCTTAAAGGGATATGGGCCAAATGCTGGCAAACAGGACTAGATTTATCTAGGATAGCTGGTTGGTGTGGACGAGTTGGACCAAAGGGTCTGTTTCCATGCTGTACATCTCCATGACTATGTTCCCTCAAGTCCCATCTTCTCTATGGTGCTTATAAAATGTCTGAACAAGTTGATTAAAAATATTAAATTTATCTAGGCATTTAACAAGCTTACAGAAGACATACCAGTTACTGCACTGCTTAGGTTAACAATTCTGGTATGAAATTAAGCACAATTAACACCCTCTGCTTCCCAACTGTTGTTTTTCAGAATCTGGTGAAAAATTAGCATTAGATCTGCCCCTTTGCTTTATGTATTCCCAAACAAACAAACAACTGAAAGCCTTTGGTCTTGGTAACTGCTTTTAGTAGCATGAAGATTAAACATTATACAAAGTGTATTTTTTCCACCCCCCCAGAGTTCAGACATTCAGTAAAAAGAAGGTTTCCATCCATTTTGGAAGGTGAGTACCAGTTCTATTTGCTCAGATGAAGTTTGAGAGGTGAAATTGTGTTGTAAAAACTTCAACTGTTTTGAAATTTCTAAGCCGCTCTGAATTAAGTTTGAAGTCACAAATTCAGTTGAATTTATAGACAAAACATAAACAAGGGCAGCGTGAACAAAGACTTGTTAGATCTCTTAAAAAAAACAAATGGTTTAGTTTTGCACTTGAACTTATCTTTATACAAAATATAAACTTTTCTAATCCATGCATACTGCTTGAATAGTTGAGATTCTGATGTCATCTTCTGCATTCCAGTTTTTTAACCATCTTGTTCTGCATTCATGTTAGACTTTGCTGAAAGTTATTAAACTCTAAATCGTCCACTGTCAAAGTCCTTCTGACTTGCACAGTCTTCTCCGTTCTTAAAATGCAGCACCATTTTATAAATTGATACAAAATAATTTCCTTTACTATTTTCAGTTTATTATAAATCCAATGAGTGGGCAGGAATCTATGGAATCCGAGAACAGGATCAGGAAATGTGGTCCAAAAATAACCAGTAAATATGTAAGTACAAGTCTTTAATATGTAAAGGTTGATTTGCCAGGGAGGTTAGGAACAGTGTTTTACAAATACTTTTCTAAGCTTTGTTCATCTCTTGTTTAAAAATCTTTTGTGTTTATTTTGTAGTTTCTTGGCCTTGAAGTTGTTCTTCTGCTTGCGTAGCGTCCGTGCGTCTTTGCCTCTGATCCAAGCATCACGATCGGATTCCCACTGTAGCTGTTTCATACCTAGGGAAATAACATGTTGACATTCTTCAGTGAGCCACCATATAATTTCCAAGTGGAAAATCTTCAATAGATAAACTTATGAGGCTGGTATCTAGCCAATGGGAGGTTATAGCTTGACTATTCAAATGAAACATGGAATTAGATTTTCACATGTAAATAACATTTTTGTAACATTATACTGAAGGCTTATAAAATTGAGAATATAACTTTTTGGCTTTAAGCATACTAAAAATCCCAAATCACTATGTACTCAGTGTATAAGTGAAAAAAAATTAAGCCTATTATCTTTATATCGACACCAGTTACTTACTTGCTTTATCGTTGTTTGCCATTGCATTTATACCAATGTTGTCAAACTTTGATCCTGCGTTTTCATCCAGCAGATAACCAAACTGTTTAAACAAAAATACCTAAATTTAGTTTTTGTCAAAGCATTACAAAAAAATTACATATCATAAAATAACTTCTGCAGTATGGGCACTTATTTCTTTACCATGCATATTTTGATTTTTGAGTTCTAAATAACAAGAATACTCATCCTTCTTGGAAGATTGCCAATTACAAACTGGTAGAGCAATTTGCAGATGAATACTAAGCCGGCACCCTGAAGTTCGCATTTAAGTCTAACAGGATTGCTGTAATCGAATAACATCACCTTAGAATGACAATATATTACTTCTCACCTCTTCTGCAGCAGCAAACATGTTAGTGCTATCCTTAACACTCTTTTTTGGTTTCTTTCCTGAAACAGTACATATAATTCAGAAAATTTAAAAGTACCAACAACTTAACAAAAGCTACTGTTACAGAAATAATCCGATGCATCAACAACTCACTTTTTTCCATTTTAATTTGGACTGAATGGAACTGAAAGATCGTACAAAACAATCTAGATTTCCATTCTAATGCCAGGCCAAAGTAGTGAAATGTACTACATAAATACAGTAAAAGACGGAAATTTTGAATTACTTTTTAATTCATTCATACGGTGAGGGATCACCGGCTAGGCCAGCATTTATTGACCATTCCTAATTGCCCACACGGTAGTTAAAAGTCAACCACATTGCTGTCGGTCTGCAGTCAAGTGTAGGTCAAACCAGGTAAGGATTGTAGTTTCCTTCCCAAAAGGACATCCGTGAACGAGATGGGTTTTTCTGACAATCAACAATGGATTCATGGCCATCATTAGACTCTTAATTCCAGATTTTTTTTAAAGTGTAAAATTCAAATTCCACCAGCTGCTGTGGTGGGATTCAAACCCAGGTCCCCAGAACATATGCTACGGCTCTGGATTAACAGTTCAGTGATAATATTTAAATTCATGAAACTTACTTTGATATGGGGTTAATATCATTCTGAAACATTAACATAATTTAGTTCAGGTATAGAGGCCCAATCTGGTTATGTTTTCATTACCAGATGAGCCTCATCTTTACCTGGAAATGCAGAGGTTAATTTTTCTTGGGTGTCTCCTTCAATAGATCAACTTATTAGTCAATAAGGAAATCTAAGATTCCTTTTCTTGTAGAATTCAATATCATAACATGTGGCAAATTCAGCAAGTTGAGGTTAATGTAATAAACTTCTACAAGAAGGAAACACTTTTGACTATCAAAACAAGGACAGAATTGGGGAAGTGAATACCAAAATATACAAAAACATAACTCTGGATATCAAGGTAGTAGCAGTTAGCTTATCTTTACCAATAAGAACACCAGTACTGCTTGATTAGGGAACTATAATCAGCCATAATTCACACTTTGTCATATCCAGTGAATCCTGGTATCTCCACAGAGTCAAATAACACATTGACACCTAATGACAGGCTGCATGAATAAACTGTATTTTGACACTAGTGAAAGCACAAGTTATAATTCAGGAGAAGTGAAATTAAGGAGTAAAAACGTTAAATGTTCTTAGAATAACCTTAAAAACCAACTGTTCTACAAAGGAGACTAATTAAAGCACTGAATGCTAATAATTTTCAAAAGTAATTTTGTACCTGAAACAAATTTGGCGAAATAAATGTCTTTTTTCCTTTTGCCAGACGTTTTACACTTCTTGCTTGTTAAGACACTGCCAATCTCTGTATATTTGTGAAAAAGTATTATACAAGAATGTTTCTGGTTAAATTATTTGCACTGTATAAAAGTCCAATTGTCTACTGATTATAGATTTGTGTAAAGAACAGGAAGTTTGAAAAAGCAGTTAGTGACATTTTTTTCCAAGATCTGAAAATGTGTTTAGGGTGTATTCTCACTTATTAACTCATGAAACAACTTAATATGCCAACCTTTAGTGCCTAGTAAATACTGTATGAGAAAGTACAACAAGTACCATCCAATATAATTTATAAAAGTTAAGATTTTGATTTATAAGTACTTAGCTTCTCTGAAGTTCATTGCACTTATTAGGATAAAACGTAGACATAGCTTTGTAAAATTAAGTTTTGTTATATAATATTGCAGCAAACATGAATAGTACCTTCTGTATCATCCAGTTCATCCATAAACATGCCACCATCTTCTCCAACCACTTCCTCAAAGTCGTCTTCACCCAAGCTTCCCAACGATACTTCGTCATCATTCAAATCACCCACATCATCTTCGAGGTCTGAATCAGTTTCTTCAACTTTTTTTGCATTTTTTGATTCCTGTTTTGTATTACTATGAAAATAGTGGACATTTGTCTTGACAAGTATATATAGCTTATATTTTGCTATTGCCCAATGATGTGTTGCTATAAATTTATCAAAACTGGTTGGTTTTCTCCCTCTATTATCAGAAAGCATGCCACCAAATTCTCCACTATGTTAGTGATAAGTGACCTGTTGTTTCTATTCAGTGTTGCAGATGCAACGTCTTCTCACACAGTAAGAAATTAAAATTTTATTTGGTTAGTAAGTTGAGTAAAGTAACAGTTAAAAGTGAACAAAACATGTGACTTTTGAATTATAAAGTTAGTTCCCACACAAACTCATCGCAGTTCTAAAGTAGGGTCTCCAGAATGTTGACTCTGCTTTCTCTCCACAGATGCTGCTAGACTTGTTCAGTTTCTCTAGCAATTTCTGATTTTGTTTCAAATCTTCAGCAACTGCAGTTTTTTTTTTTTAAAATATTACCATATTATTGTTCAGCTCGCATAAAAATACAAATTCAGTTGGAAAGCTGCTCAGTAAAGCACAGCAGAATATTCATTGCGATCAGAGTAGTCAAAATAAATTTAACCAGAGAACAGCATTAACTGAGCCACAGACATAGTAGAGCCCAGTTCTGCAAATCTAACATGCAGATCTCTAATGGCAAATAGTCATGATTTCTCATCCATTAAATAATCTCCATTCATACTAAAATATTTTCATGTAATTGTGTCAAGGTTATGGAGTGCAAATCAAAATTGTTCCTCAAGCTTGCATCAAGCTACACTGGAACAATGTAGCAAGCTTTATAGACTGAAATGTCAGTGTGAGAGCATGGTGGAAAATTAAGATAACAAGAAATCAGAAAATTTGGGTCATGCTTGAGGTGTGAAACAAAGTGTCACCCAGTCTGTGATTAGTTCAAATTTTAACATAACGGTAGGAGGAGTATGTGGCGGTGACATTGCCTGGAGTGGAGACTCACATTGACAGTGGGTCACTTGACTCAATCAAGTTCAAGCACTTTAGATCAGAAACTGTGCCACCTTGATTTCGTTCTTTAGTTTTTATCCTTCCCTTTAGTTTGAGGATTTTGTATTGTTTCTTCCTTTATCCTTCCAAGTTGCATTCATATGTAGCAATTCATGCCTCATTTGGACACCTTTATTTCATCATAACATCTATTAGCACTCATTTTGGTGATAATGAAATATTTTGTTATTTAATCTTCCCTGGTCTCTATCCTAGCACAGATCTTCCCTTTTGTTCTTCCTGCCCTCTCTCCCTTCTGCTGGTTTAAAAGTTCTCCCGTATTCTCTCTCTTCCACTCGGACAAAAAGGTGGTCAACTTAAAATGTCAACCTCAATTATCTCCATAGATGCCATCTGACCTGCTGAGTTTGTCCAGTTGTTTTCATTCTTGTTTCAGATTTCTAGTATCCGCAGTATTTTATTTTAGCTTTTATCTCAGTTCAGTTTTTACCCAATATCCACTTCATTCTTAGGGCAGTGTGGGGATTATAATAAAACAAAGAACTGCTGAATCACTGGACTTCAAATATTAACTCTGCTTTCTTCCCATGGATGCTGTCAGATCTGCTGAGTTGCACCAGCAATTTCTGTTTTGACTTCTGGGAAGTGATATTTTAGACTTCCACACTCTGAAAAAGGCTTCAATTTTCACTCCAAAACAATCTAGTGGCAATTTCAAGTTTACATCCTGTCTGTTGCTATAAAGAAGATATTCAGATTCATCCACTATGGATCAAAAAATAAATGATGTCATAGTTGCCCAAACTGAACTCCATGGGGTGGCAAGGTGGTTAGCACTGCTCCCTCACAGTGCGGGGAACCCAGGTTCAATTTCAACCTTGGGCAACTGTCTGTGTGGGTTTTCTTCCACAGTCCAAAGACGTGCAGGTTAAGTAGATTGGCCATGGGAAATGCAGGGTTATAGGGCGGTGTGGGTTGTTTGGGTAGGATGCTATTCCAAGTGTCGGCGTTGACTCAATGGGCTAAATAGCCTGCTTTCACGCTGTAGGAATTCTATGATTTCTACATCTATAGATTCACCTACTTAATTTGTTTGTCCATCTGTAACTTTCTGTTCCCATCACAGAATTTGCTGTGCCTCCTAACTTATGTTGTCGTTGGTAAAGTTGATATTTTACTCTGTATTCCTTCATCTAAACCCTGAATATGTGATTGTATGATGAAGAACCAAGGGCTTAGATCAAACTTCCAAGGAACATCACTTGCCACATTCTGACAATCAGAAAACAAACACTTTATTCCTAAAATAAAACAAAACTGTGGGTGCTGGATATCTGAAACAAAAAGAAATTGCTGGAGAAAGTCTGGCAGCACCTATGGAGAAAACAGAATTAACATTTTGATTCTGGTGACCTTTCTTCAGAACTTGGTCCTTTATTCCTAATTTCTGTTTCCTACCAACTTACAAACACAATCACACTTGCTGATAATCTCATGTGCAATACTCTAAAAACTTTGCTGAATGACAGGGCTTAGAATACTTGTCAAAATGAACAGGCAACATGTCAATTTACATCAGAAAAATTGACCAAAACACTAAGTACACAAAACAGCAAGACACACTTTCCCACCCCCACCCCCCGCAAAAAAAAATTGCAGTAATTAGCTGAATCTGTACAACAGGATAAATCTTACCTGGCAAAATCTAAACTGTCATCAATTAATGTATTATAAGATTTTTCTCCTTCATAGAAATCTGAAATGGTACAATGCACAAGGTAAACACAATTCAAAATATTTCATTCTTCATTTATACTACAGTGAAACAACAGCAGATTATACACTTTGACAAGAGGAGCTATCATTGTTAGAATCCCTACAAGTTCACACTGACCCTCCAAAGAGCATCCCACACAGACCCCGCTCCCCCTATGTTTTCCCATGGCTACACCACCTGGCCGACACATCCCTGGACACTATGGCTGTGCTAAATTACCCCAATGCACCTAACCTGCACATCTTTGGTCTGTGGGAGGAAACCCACACGGATGTGGGGAGAATGTGCAAATTCCGCACAGACAGACAATCACCCGCGAGTGGAATCAAACCTGGGTCCTTCACTGCCGCCTCAAAAGCAGGGACCCGGGTTTGATTCCAGCCTCGGGTGACTGTCTGTGTGGAGTTTGCACGTTCAATCTGTTCTTGTGCAGGTTTTCTCCCACAGTACAAGGATGTGTAGGTTATGTGGATTGCCAATGCTAAATTGCCCATAGTGTCCAGGAATGTGTAGGCTAGGTGGGTTAGCCGAGGGGAATGCATGATTACAGGGATGGGTCTGGGTAGGATGCTCTTCAGAGGGTCAGTATGGACTCAAGGGGCCAAATGGTCTGCTCATACACTGTAGGGATTCTATGATAGATATTGCCTACCACCATGATTCTACACGTTAGTTAGACAAAATTCTAAATCGAAAGCTGCATACCTTTCAACACACATTTAAATCTACTTTAATAATGCTTACCAAGCAGCCGCTCGAATTCATCATCATCTACATCCTCCATGGCTTCATCACTTCCTCGGAATCTTTGTTGCTTCTCCGATGCATTAAGTCTTTTGTAATATCTGAATAAAGTTACCATCCAATAGATAATTAGGTACTCTAGAAGTCAAAGTTGTTAAAATGTTAAAACTATAGTTTTGTTGCCATTGGGTTCAAAACTGTTGGTGACCTTGTCTCTATTTTCAACCTATGTTAGCTAAAACTCTAGTTTAAATATCACCAGTATTTTGAAAAATAGCAGCCAAATCTTTGTTGCATATTGTTATCGTTGTTTCAATTATTAGATCTAAAAACTTTAAAAGAAAATAAATTAGCCATATATTCTCCAAATAAGAAATTTTCTAATCATATCATCAGCCTTCTAAGCTGTTATATTAAATGTCTTGAATTTCTGTGTCAAGGTGTGGTTAAGAAGAGTGAGGCATTATAAAATAACTGGAAACACAACGTGACCTGCTACTTAAGATAACTAACATAGAAGAAACGCTAATGTTTGTTACTCATTGTGCACTGGTGAATATTGACATAAATGCTGGCCTTGCCAGCAATGTCCACAATCTATATTTAAACAACTTAAATTTAAATTGCACCTTTTAATATATTAAAATATCTCAAGAAGATTTTCAGGAACGTAATTAGTCGAAACAAATTGACACCAAGCAAGGAAACATCAAGACAGGTGATCAAAGCTTGATCAAACAAATAGGTATAATGGAATTTTGCATGAGGAAGAGGAAGGTAAGATTAAAGGCTCTAATCAGCTGTAGGTGGAAGTCGGTGGTGTAAAAGTCAGAAATCTCTGCAGCATTAATCAGCAGATTGTAGGTGGTGAGAGAGAGAGATCGAGATAGTTGAGGCTATGGAGAGATTTGACCACGAGGTGTCATCAGTATACACGTGGAATCTTACATGTTGTTAGATCTCTTCAAGGAGCAACATGTAGTTAAGAAATAGTGGAGTGTTCTCGTGTGGTAGTGTCCCTACCTCGGAGTCAGGAGATCTGGGTTCAATTCCCACCTGCTCCAGAGATATGTAATTATATCTCTGAACAGGTTGCTCAGAAAATTAGAAAATATGACAAAAGGGGGAGCAAAGATAGATCTGAGACAGCAGTGTAGGAACAGGAAGACAAGCCGTTACAGAATGCTCTCTAGTTAGAACGAGATAGACAAGAATGAACAAAATGAGGGCAATCAGTCAGCCACACAGCAGGGAGGGAAAGTGGAGTCACAGTCTTTTTAACTGTATTTTTGGTTACACCCCACATTCCTTCTAAAGCACTCCAAGATTTTACTTTTGTGAAGAGATAAATAAATGTATGTGTTATTGTGTTATTGTGTACTAATCAATCCCCTAACGTAGATAAAATCACAAATTTTAGAAGCAAATGCCATAGATCTTACCTGTGGAAAAATATTTCATCCACTGGGATTTGGCTCTCTTCACGTTCAATAAACTTCTGACTATTTACTGTAAAACATTATAAATCAAATCAATATTAAGAAGTCTGTTAAGTCCCATTTCAGATTTAGTCCTACGAAGTAATGATTTAAGTTTTGCAAACAAAAGGGCTGATTTGCCATCTTTGAAAAAGTATGACTTAGAGTTAGCAATAAATTTAAAGATGACAACAGATGAAATATTAGATTGCAAATGTGTTTATTCAATGCAGAACCACATTTAACCCATAAGATTTGCTTAAATTCATCTTAGTTTAACTACATAGGTGACCATATTTTCTATATTTTTCTGCTGATTTTTCTGCTGAATCCCAAAGTATTTCCAAATATCTCATACATTTCCTTCACAAGCAAGTACATCAAGCCCTAAATTATGAACAAAATTTTACAAGTCACTCACGAAAATCATTCCACCACATGAGTTACAAGAATATTACTGATAAGACTTGATTTTTTTGATCTTCAACAAATACTTTTCCACGCACTTTCCTCAGGTCTACAATTCACTAAACCCACAGTTGGGGCATTGTCAATAATGTTCTCTTCCTAATGGTGGGGAAATTTCAACAGTCCCCTTCAACAATACCCAAGTGGTTATTTTTTTATATTCCACAGTTTGATCAGCTAACTCAGTACAGACCAGTAACTTCTTTGATCTGCATCACTCAATGCCACACCTTAGTGCACCTAACTTACTGAGTGATTGGGGACGTTGGTTGTGAATCTATTATTAACAACAAGATTTAATTAGTAGAAAACACTGGAACCCATTCCAAAACTGAACTACAATGAAAACCAAAAGAACGACAGATGCAAAAAAACAGAAGTTGCTGGAAAAGCTCAGCAGGTCTGGCAGCATCTGTGAAGAAAAATCAGAGTTAACGTTTCAGGTCCAGTTTCAGGAGTTCTGAGGAAGGGTCACCAAATCCAAAAAGTTAACTGAGTTTTCCTCTCAGATGAGCATGTTTTATACTATCCTGGTGTATCCAACGTGCATAATAATCCACAAACAAGACAAGCAATCTTGTGTGCTATTGTGTAAACATTATCCAGACTATAGACATCTCCATTATTTTCCAATATTCAAAATGTCAATAACAATTTTATCCATACTCAGCCACAGATACACACAAAATCAGTAATGTATGGTTTGTACAATCATGATTGTTTAAAGTCTTTGTATAGAAATAGCTGCAAGAGGACAATAAATATACATTTTCAAAATGATGAGGCCTAATATGGTTAAAGCAAAGTTGATCACTGTATTCCAATGCTGGGTATACTGTTGTTTCATTAATTACCTGGCAGGTTACGCACATCATTCAACAGAAGTTTCTGTTTAGGCTGCATCACTACACTGTCAGTGTTTTCTGCAACAAAGAAGATATTTTTCAAAAGACTAATCCAAATCAAAGAATTTTATGAATGTTATAAATGTACACATGAAAAGGAAAGGCAGGAAAAAGCCAATGAGGTTAATAAGCATGTTTTATACTACCCTGGTGTATCCAATGTGCATAATAATCCACAAACAACCTTGTGTACTATTGTGTACACATTATCCAGACTATAGACATCTCCATTATTTTCCAATATT